GCTGACAGATACTCGCTGCAACCGTAAATCCTCATTTGCACAGAATGACCAAAATATTCTGGGTAAACAGAATCACTTTCTCTTCAAGGAGTATCGGACAAAACCTTTCTGAAATGATGCTGAAGGCATCAAGACCCCAAAAGGCACCAGATTCCATCTGATTGTAAAACCTGTGTAAGGTCAGCCCTGGTTAGTACGTGGATGGGAGATCACCAAACAATAACAGGTGCTGCCACATGCTGTAATTTAAACAACGAAATTGACAAAACCATTTCTGAATATGCCACATATTAAAAAAAAACTTAGGAAATTAATGGTTTCACTATAAATAGGTGATTTGAGGGCAGACACACACTCAAGAGTGTCTTTCAAGACAACAATCTTTAATTAATTTTTATTTACTTTTTGCCTTTCCTGCATAAAATAAAGAAGGTTCTTTTAGGAGGTTCTGCTCAACACAATTTAATGAATTTTAAAAATGGGACAAAACCACTTGCCTAAATCACTGAAGCACTACAAATGCTGATTGCAGCATAATCCTCACTGTCCCAACAAATCATCCTTCTGCTGCACTTAAATGCTGCACTAGACCAAACATTCAAATGCATATCAGCATTTTCTTCATGCTACCACCAGCAACATCAAAACAAATAGCAGGGAGAGACACCAATATCCCACCCTAACCCTCTCCACCTATTAAGTGCCACAACATTCTAATGGAAGAGAGTGGATTTGGGTCAGTAAATCCAGAATTGCTCTGTGGCTCACACTTTATCCAAGTGTGCTCTTGTTAGCTATAACAATCCAGGAGCTAAATCTATAATTCCATTCACACCATACAATATATATATATATTCATTTGTTAATTTTTTTCTGCTGTTTTATTTTGTGAAAGGTATTTTTAGTTATGAGACAGGATAGAATGACGCATTAAACTCTACAGAATCAGTTTCATTTGATGCAGCATGGTGGCATTTCTCTCCCCCCTCCTGCCCACTGCATCCGACAAGCCCATGTAATTCCATCAGGAAACAGGGTTTTATACCCTCTGCTGTAACATACACAGTACTGCAGAGGGTGGTGGTGGGGGGAATGGGGAAGACTGGAGGCATCGGATGCATTGTAGTAATATTATTTCTATACTCAATCTGGTGTGTTCATTAGGACAAATAATTTCTAATTTCCTAAGGATTAACGCATTTTCATTTAGTGGAAAATGCTATCTCCTATTAAAAATCTGTCCAAAGACATGAAATATTCCTGACATGAAACAAAAATTAATCATGTTAAATGGTTGTCATTAGTGATTATTTTCTACCAACAGAGTCATTTTGAAATAATTTTCTTCCAACAATGTCGGATCACAAGGCTGCAGGACATGGCCCCATTCAGTCAATGTAAATTATTTGTTACTGACTTTGTTGTCAAATAAACTAGAGATTCCTGTACTAGAGACTAATGAATCAAGAGTTGTGGATACTTTGTCTTAGTTATCAGGTCACATAGGAGACAATGGGATGCAGCTCTTTTTTTTTCCATCCTAGGATGGACAAATCTGTACCACAGCAGGCTGCAGAACATGATACTTTAGGCTGAACTGACAAAGCATCATCTTCCCAAACATCCTGAAAATACCAGATCCCTTCTTGTCTTGGAAGCTGAGCAGAGTTAATGCTTGACTGATGCACCACAATGCACCACACAGGAAGTTCAAGGGATGCCAATGCAATCCATTTGTTAGTCTATGAAAACTCTATGAAATTAATGGCATCACTATACATCAACAGACAATTTGAAGGCACATATACATGTATACACCATCAAAGATGGCAGACATTTGAAGTTTAAGCAGATCAAGATCTCTATTACTATAATAGATTTGAAGCAATGATAAATGGTAAAATCATCATTGATTTGCATCTCCTCTGATGCAAAGACCAGAAAGGATAGAAAAAGACCAGCCTATTTCAGGATTTTATCCACCAATGAAAGAGCTGAAAACTGCTGAATGATGTTATCTATGGCATGTGGTCCTAATGAAGAAAAGGGGAGGGGAAGGCTGGCCAAGAAGGAGTAGTATTCTGTTCTTGGATTTATTGGAGAAATTGCATGAAAATCATTGATGGATCTTCAGAGGGATTGGGTTTCCATCCTGCCGATTCTAAATTTTCAGTCGTCACCAGACTCATTAGTGATATAGAAGATACAACAGATGGGCCTCTCCAGCAAAAGACATCCCATTAAAGCAGGTAACAAAAATTAGAACAGTGTCAAGAGTAATGTCTCAATAAGGTCAAGGATTTTGAAAATTGTGGACTATACTTAAATATCCTCCTGAAAGGAATACCAGACTATGTGGAGAAGGGTGATTTACACTCACATATGCTCTTACCTGGTTCAAATAAATTTACCCTGTTTTAGACGTTATACAACATTTTGAGATCTTAGCTATTAAATCTTGAAATGTTGGAGGGTTTTGATAGGATCCGATCTTAACTTTCAAACTGATTTTTTCGGGATATTTCATTTGACACAAAAATGACACAATTTCCAACCATTCACAGTGCTGCTGTGACAAAGAGGAGTAAAATAAAATAAAAATTGCAAGCTACTTGTTTCCCATAACGACACTGTTTGAAGTGCAATGACTGAACTGCAACATTTGCAAAATCCTCAAAGTGGTGAAGAAAGAAAACATGTCATCCCACCAAGATTATGAGAGCCAGGAAGCCTGAGTGTTAGGTGACTGAACGTAGAAAGAATGGAAAAGTGTGGTACAATTCTGAAGTTACAGATTTTATCAAAAGTGATTTTACAACTTAGTTCTGAATGGCATGGAAGTTTGTGTCCCCCCCCCCTTTTTTTCTCTCTCTCTCTCTCGAGAGCTGCCTTGTCACTTTACCTATGGGGAAGAAATATATGGTGTCACAGTGATAACTCTCCTCCCAACCTGTTTTCCTATCATTGGATGATCAACTTGGACATACTCACACATTGCTCCTTTTTGTCCATGCCCCCCCCCCTTTTTTCTGGAAGAATTGTGCAACTCCAAGATTTCACAATGTTATAAGACTATGGTATCATCCTTGTGTGAGTTCATAGTTATGCAGGGAGAGGGAAGTCATGTGGAGTGGACATTCAACCTACATGTGTTCTCTTAGTTGTTATGGAGACCATACTGAAGAAATCAGAAGACTACTGTTGCACTTCAGAACAGGAAAAGCCCTCTGACTTTAAACACCACACAGTTGAATAGGAAAAACAATCCTTTTATTGAAGATAATTACAAAGCAGTAAAGTAAAAAGCACTTTAAAGAAATAGGTATATCCAATTAGGTAAGATAAGCAGGAACAAAGTAATCCAGGAAAAATAGTCCATGAAAACAAAGTCAAAACTTTTCTAATAAAATCCAAGAAACCAGGAAACATGAATCTAAGGTATGAATATAAAATCATAGAATCCAAGAATCAAAACCATGAAACAAAAGGCACTTAAATATGAATCTTCCAAGCAAGGCTTCCATGAAACAAGGACAAGATCTTGACTTGATTCCAAACGATGCTACATCTGACTACATATTCTGTACTTGGGACTTTTATCTCCTTGTTAGCTATGTCCCAAGAACTCAGAAATTGGTTTCGCTTTGCCTTAGAATCTCTAATCTTTTTCTCTCAGAGCCTGGCAGAACGCTGAATCCACTGTTTGGCTTTTCTGTTTTTGACTAATCTCCTCCTGTCTATTTGCTCATTAATTTTTGCTCCTGGTGCCTAGCTGTTTTCAAGCTCCAAATCATGGGAACTCTCTGGTAGCAATTCAGAGAGCACACCATCATCCCCACACCCCTCGGGGACATTCTCATGGGAAACTACACTTTGAACAGGGATCTCCTGGTCATTCTCTGCATCAATATAATTGACCAAGCGATTGCCATCTTGAAACTCATTGACATCACTCCCCACATCCAAAGCACTCTGATCCTGAAACACAATCACAGGCTGAGCTTCAACAACTACACAGATCCAAAACCCACGCCCGATCTGGCGTGCTGGACACAGGACTAACCCAGAGTATGGAGGCAAGATAGAGTTCCTTTTACCCAGCTGTGCTGAACACCATTTGGCACCACTAGGCGGCCACTCTAACTGTCCCCTCCCACCCCCAGTGTCATTGTGGACCCCTGCCATGGCAGGTGGTGGAGCACTGGGGGAGTGGGGACAGGATCCAAATAAGGCTCTAACAGGCGAAGTGATCATTTAAGGCTGCCCCTGGAATTTCCCCAAGACTGCTCATCAGTTTAAGATCGGCTGAAATCCCAAGAGCCTCTAATGCTAGCCTCTAATGCTCCTCCTTCCAGAGGAAAATGAATTCTGATGCTCTACTGCCCTCTCTGTTCACTGTGACAAGTGGTACTTCTCTACAGCTTCTTGCAAAATATTCTTCCTGTTTGCCTTCTGAGTGCACAGAAACTGTTTTTGCTATGTGGGTGATTAGACTGCCTCCTATGGAACAGGATTGGGACCAGGAAGGTGATTACATTTACTATGGAAAATGGTCTGCAGCCGCTCTATGCCCTCACTCTTATTTCCAGGAGAGATGTGCACCAGTGTTCTTGAGCAGAAATCCTCGAACGGCAACCTTCCAGCTGTTTGGGGCTCCAACTCTCAGAAGCCCTAATGAGCTTGTTCAATTGTCAGGAATTCTGGGAGTTGAAAGCTCAAACAGCTGGAGGGCCGTAGTTTGAGGATGCCTGCTCTAGAGACAATAAGTTACACCTCTCTGGAGAGTTTTGCTAGCATCAGATCTTAATTTTCAAATAGATCTTTCAGGACTTTCAATTAGCCATAGTTTCAAGTTGGCTTGAAGCTGCAATAATGGTCAGCATAGATGATATAATAGGACATCAGATAGTAAAAAGGAAGCATAACCCATATAATCCACTTTGCATCTCTTTTGTGGAGGGAAAAAGCTGGGTATAAATAAGAATAATAACCATAATAACAACAACAACAATTATTATTATTTTATTTTAGGGATTTTCAAATACAATAAATATGTCACCAAAAAGAATAACACAGAAGTAAAAATGAGTTAGTATAAAAAGAGAATCACAGTAAGAAATCCTCTGAAAATGTCAGCCACCGATGCTGGAAAAATGTAAAGAGAAAACGCCGCAAGAACATGTCCACATAGTCCGGAAACCCCACAGCACCCCAGTTAAAGCCTTCGACAATACTGTAAGAAAAAGTTTAATACAGCAAGAAATAGTTTAGAAATAAGAAAAGAAAGAAAAAGAAAAGATTTCTATGTACAGTATATTTGATTTCCAACTTTTCTATAAAATATCGTATTTACTCAAGTCTAATGTGCCATCGAATCTAATGTGCACCTCAATTTTCAAAACCCAAAACCCCCAAAAAAGGATTTGCCATATTAACAAATCTAATGCACACTCTAATTTTGGGAAAATATTTTAATCAAAAGGGTGAGCATTCGAATTGAGTAAATACGGGAATATATATAAAACTAAATAAAATAGCTTCTTTAAACTTAATTATCATTCATGCATTTCTAGTGCTTACTAATTTATAAAAAACTACAGTCAATATATTGTTCTCTTCACTCTGCAAAATAAAAAATACATAAATTACCAGTCTTCTACAAAGGTCAGAAAAAAAACATGGTTAATTTGTCCATTTCCACAAAATCTCAGTTTCAATAGTCATTCTTCATTTATATATGGTTGTATATTTCTACGTCTGAACATACAATACTCTTGCTTCTGTGGCCTTATATCATAGTACTTTCCCATTACTTCCCCATCTGGTCTTCCACAAGTCCTGACAAATACAACTCCATTTTCAACAGTTCCAAGAGTACAGTGATTCTTGAAGAGATCTTTTTAAAGAGAAAAGGGAAGCATTTGAAGCACGTGTAGAAAATTATGTGTACATGGAAGAGAAGAGATAAATACAAAAAGTCCTGTGCATTATAGTGTCAGTGTAAAAAGGCGCTTGGTCAAGCAGTAACTCTGGTAAAGAATCGCCAGGACACTATTGCCACCTGCAGGTCAAAATGAAAAAATACTGTCAAATATTTTGGATGTCAACGTCAATACCAAAACAACTTTAATCTTATTCTTTCAATCCAAGATGGTATGAATTGCTGTTACATGTCTTTTCATCATCTGACAGCCTATCCACATTGTTTTGGACTAAGAATGATCCACAACGTCTTCTTTGGCTTTAATTGATTAGAAAGACTGTTGCTTGTCATAGATCCCGTACAGATATGAAATTCACTCTTCAGTCAACTCATAAATAAGGTATGTATTGCCTCACCCGCTACTTAGAAACAATTCATCATAGTTTGTTTTGCCTATTTTTCACCTGAAAGCAATTTCTTTCATGTCAAATGCAGTATTCTAAGGTAATGTTTGAAAAATATTTAATAAGCAGAAATGCTGTCCAAAGTCAGGCAGCAGAATCAGAACTTGGTACCTAAGATCCAATCTCTGAGGTTAATTTGTTAGGACTTTAGTTAGAAGTCCCTCAAATTATAATTGTTGACATAACCCTATGTAACGTGATTTTTGTTTCTGGGTTATAAATGTCATTTTCTCATTGGTTCTATCATTAAAACATGAAAAAAAAGTTTATTAAACTGCAAAAATTTTGGTTTTTGCGGAACATCCTGCAGCACATTTTGCTATAGTTTTATTTTGCTATAGTTTTTAATATAATAATAATAAAGATAATAATAATAATGATAATAATAATAATAATAAACAACTTTATTTATATACTGCTCTATATCCCCGAGGGGGACTTAGGGTGGTTTTCAAGCAACATCACCAAAGCATAAAATTAACAAAACATAAGCATAAAATTATCACAATAGCACATATATATTTAAAAAATAATCCTGCCTGTTCAGAGCAATTAAAAGGCTGGGCCAAGGCTAGTGTAGACTCAAAATATGAGGGGACTGGGAATTAAGTACAGTGCTATAACAGGCTAACAGCAATAGCAGGTACAGGTCTGTGGCTGCTCATTTCCAGGGCCTATTAGAGGGATGACCGGGGTAATAGGTAGGAAGTATAAGGCCATATTCAACAATGTTTGGGGCTGGGCTAGAACTGGTCATTCTCAAAGGCTTGTTGAAAACACCAGGTCTTCAAGCTCTTACGAAAAGGAGGGGAGAGACGGGGCCTGTCTTATTTCCCTTGGAAGGGCGTTACAGAGGGGGGGACCACCACCGAGAAGACCCTCTCGTCTCTACCAACCCTACTTCTGAGGGTGGTGGGAGTGAAAGGAGGGCCTTCCTGGAAGATCGTTTCAATGAATATCTCCTAAGAGTCTCAACCAATTCAACATAGTTTGTGGCAGCCACAAAAACAAAGTTTCTGGAGTATAACAACTACTTTAAGAGTAAGTGCTGCACAATCAAATAGGAAATAACACTTTCAAATCAGGAACAGATTTTTTTTTCAAATCTTATTACATAGTGTAATCATTGGGGATATGCCAAGGTCAATGTGTGTTCAACGTATGGCATCAAGTTGTCTTATTTATTTATGGTGACCCCAGAACTTTTAGTTTTCTTAGCAATATTCAAATGTGGCGATACCTTTGTGGTATTTAGGGGGATTGAGAATTTGCATTAAATGATATATTAGGATAGTTATCTCCAAACTCTGTGCTGTGGCATCCTAGTGTGTCACAGCAAACTGTAGTAACTCTCTCACACACACAGAATAACACCTTTCATCTTATACTCTCAGTCTAGGGCAGTATGAAGCCTCATCAGTGTCAAAATCTGTATAGTTTCCCATATATATTTTTTGCATGAAGTAGGCATCTGGGCTGTTTTTACTTCTAGACAAAAAAAAATTCTAATTCTAGTTTTAAATGGCCCTCTTGCTTTTTCATCTGGGTCAACTTTGCTGGGTGAAGGAAGTGAAGGCAAAGAGGAGGTGACTTGGCATCTAGCAAGCTTTAAAAGAAGTGTTTATATTTTATTTTCCAAAAAATAAAACAAAGCAAGAGGAAAGGCAATCAAGATGATAAATCAGATACAATCAACCAAGTAATACTAATTCCAAAATCAGCTGAATGCACAAACCTTACACAGAGAAATGTGCTCCATTCTGGGCACTACAGTTTACGAAAAATATTGGCAAGTTGGAATATGTCCAAAATGACCAAAATGGTAAAAGGTCTGGGAGTTATGCCCTATGAGGAGTGGCTAAGGATGCTGGGTATGTTTAGCTTGGAGACGTGGTTAAGGGGACACAATAGCCAAGTTTAAATATTTTAAAGGTGATTAGCTCAAGATTGTTGGTTCAAGCTCCTGCTTGCCTTCTTGTAGTCCTCAGCTGCCCACCAAAGAAGATATCCTCTGTTAGGTGAAGCACAGAAGAACTTGGTCCTGGCTTTCAGTTTAGAAGACCTAGTTTAGCAAAAACAACTGAACACCCATTTCCAACATGCACATAGTTGAATACCTCATATGAAAGTGGTTGGTTAGTCCTTTATCATAGTGCAGTTTATTGGACTAAGGCAGGATTTCAATCTTGTATGTTGCACTCTCTTTCTGTCTTTCCATCAGTAAGCAGGAAAACAACAATTTTGGTTTCCATGCTGAGAGAAAGATTGGATATAAATTAAATAAATGAAAATAAATGAATGGCAATTATCAAGTCCACAACCTCATTTAGTTCCTATGTATTTTTATTTGTTTTCTACAATTATTTGTTTTCTACAATATGAGATATTGTGAAAAAGCTCTCAAGTGTCTCTCTCCAACTCCATGAGAAAACTAGTTTTCCTAAGGACAAAAGTTACTTAAGGCTGGGTGCATGCAACAGCAAAGTGGATTTAGTATTTTGCTCCTTCCAAAGCCCTCCAAATCATGGGAACATAAAAAATCTGTTCTGTAATTCTGCTGCTCCTCAACATCCCATCCCCACCCTGCACTTCCCTCTAGGACACAGAAAAGTTTAATCAACAGCAGAGACAAAAATAGTTGAGTCACAGACCTACATTTTGTATGTTTCTGTTGTAATTCAGTTGTTCTAGAGAGATCTCAATGCAGGCCAACCCCATTCCTTTTTTTGGCCACAGAATAATCACAGTTAGATAATTAAAAGGCCACAACTTTATTTTGGTTACAGTTTGATGAACGTTGGCCCACACGAGGATCAGGAGCCAAACATTGACTAACCCACCTGATGATCAATGACACCGCAGAACTGATCTAGTGACAGCTCACACTGGAGTGGCATGAGATCTACCCAATGGGGCATCCCAGTTGTAGTTTCTCACAGCCACCAGGATGGGGTGTAGTATGGGTCTATTCCCATCTGGGTAAGAGCCCTGCAGACCACACATCCCTCTCAAGTCCCCCAATAGGACCCCCTATACCACCAGGACTTGGCATGCACTGGACACCTGATCTTGGATCTAAAACTGATACCAGCTGCCACAAAAAGTAGACTAGAGGACTGGCTTATGTCAACCACAGTGCAGCTGCAACCAAAGAAAAGGCAGACAATGGCAGGGAGCTGTCCATAGTTGCCACCCTGAGCTTGTCTATTAAATCCTTTTCTAGACCATCTCACAACCTCTATGACTTGCCCCAAGGCCTTCCACTGGCCGTTGGAATGTGTTGGCCATGTGTCCTGTCTTCATCATTGTTTCAATCCTGTAAAAGAATCAAAATTGTCATGCACAGTATCCAGATCCCGGATGTCCAAAAACTTATGTGCTTGGTGGAGTGCTTGGTGCTTGGTGGAGTCCTTACCAGATCACAATCTGCAGCCACCATTGCCACTCTGATCCTGAATGAGTGATCCCCATGTTCTGCTGCTAGCAATTCAAGGCTGCTGAGAGCCAAATGAAGAACTGCAATGATTTGGAAATGAGAGGAGCATGTAGTTTGCATGTGTGAAAATTGGGTGCTCCCCCACAAAACACATTGTCAAATACTCTGATAATACTTGCATTTTGGGTCCTGGGCATGGACCCCTCATGCCCAGAGCTCAAAGATGAATCACCGATTGGTTCCTCCACTGGTCACATTTAGAATGCTTGATGCAGATGCGAGATGCAGAATTGATGATCTCCACATTCCGGAGCTGAAGTCCTCTCCCAGATCTGTCTCTCCTGGACCCTGCCATTAATTCCCCAATTCTTGTGGCTCTAAAGATCACTGAGATGAGTGCTGCCTTGAGAGGTATTATCTCATATGGAAATAGGCAGACCTGCTGCAACCATCTAACCAAATGCCCCAGAAAGAGCAACAAAGAAGGACCAAGGGCTCAAGAATTGAAACTGTATTTTGCAGTGTTTCACATCTTTTAAATCTAACTCTAGGAGACTGGAATGCAAACCATGCCATGATTATCAACATGGTGTGAATTTGATTTCCTCCTGGACTCCAGCATAGAATATTTGAATTTCTTCTTCCTCTGTAGTTGTGACATATAATTGAATTATGGAGTGATATCCTTAAAGTTTTAGTACTTGGTCAGACTTTGCATTATATCTTCTGTGCGCTTTTGTTCCTCACCATTCATCTCTTCACGACATCTTCTTTTCATGGAGATTCTTCTCCAGGTGTCCAAACTGGGTTCAGAAAAGGAAAAGGCATTAGGGAGATCACATTACAAATATATACTGGGCAATAGCATGCACCAAAGAATTTCAGTAGATATTTAGCCAGTGCTTTATAGATTATAGAAAAACCTTTGATTGTGTAGATCACTATGGATTAAAGAAATGGGCATGTCATAATATTTGATTATTCTGCTGTATAACCTATAGTCAGGACACAATCAAAAAAAGATTTCTAATAGACAAGTAAGTCAAGCAAGGCTGCATTTTATCTTTTAGTACACCAGTATACGCAGAACATATCATATAGAACAGGGGTCCTCAAACTTTTTAAACAGAAGGCCAAGTCACAGTCCCTCAAACTGTTGGAGGGACAGATTATAATTTGAAAAAAACACGAATGAATTCCTATGCCCACTGAACATATCTGTAGTGCAAAAAACACTTAAAACAATACAATAATTAAAATGAAGAACAATTTTAACAAATATAAACTTATTAGTATTTCAATTGGAAGTGTGGGCCTGCTTTTGGCTGATGAGATAGGATTGTTGTTGTTGTTGTTGTTGTTGTTGTGTGCTTTCAAGTCATTTCAGACTTAGGTTGACCCTGAGCAAGGGCCGAGTAAATTACCTTGGAGGGCCATATCCGGCCCCCAGGCCTTAGTTTGAGGACCCCTGTTTGAGGACCCCTGATATAGAAAATAGGAAAAGACACAGAAGAATGATAACTGAGGGAAGTTTTCTGCAATTTGAGACATGCAGATAACATCGTGCTACTAGTGAAGAATAGAAAAGTATTGGACCCCCCCCCCATTGAAGAAACTCAAGAAGAAAGTACAAAGACAAGTTTACAATTGACCACAGACATAATGACCACAGATGTGTTGCATTATATTGAAATAGATGATGGAGATACTGAAATAGTTCAAGATTTTTCATTTTATTAATAAGAATGGATAATGCTATCAGGAAATCAGACAACTAGGACTTGAAGGAACTAGGCAAGATCCTGAAGTGTAAAGATATATCATTCAATACTAAAGTTAGGATTGTTCATGTCATCTTATTTCTCAATTCTATGTATAGTTGTGAAAGCATACATAGTGAAGAAAGCTGACAAGAAAAATGTGGTGTTAGGAGTAGTAGAGTTCTTCGGATACAATGGACTGCCACAAACTAAAACAAATGAATAGATCCTAGAACAAATCGAGCTGTATTCTGATTAGAAGTTGACTAAGCTGAAACTGTCATACTCTGATGATATCATGAGAAGGTATGACTCACTAGAAAAGATCATAATACTTGGTAAGTTAAAAGGCTAGAGGAACAAAGGAAGACTCAATCACAGGTGAATAGCCTCAATCAAGGAAGACACAGCTCTGAGGTTCCAAGAGGCAGTTAGTGACCAGTTACCTTTGATGTTCCTCACTAATAGTCACCATAATTCAAAGTCAATTCAATAGCAATTAACAACACAAAGGACGATGGGTTATAGGATTTATATCTTTTCTCAAAATATAGGACTCAAGGTGGTAGTTTATTCATGTTTAGACCAAAATCAATTTGCATATAAAATAAATAAGCAGCTTTGGCAGATGGGTATGTTTTGTATGGAGTAGAGAAGGAACATGATAGCCATGTTTAAATATTTGAAAGGATGTCATATTGAGAAGGAAGCAGCTTCGGAAACTAGGGCATAATGAAACAATGGGTTCAAACTCCAAGAAGAGATCCCACTAAAATATTGGGAAGAAAAACAAATCTAAATTGAAGTGGGGGAATGATGGTGGTAGGCTGCCCTCTGAGATCCCAAGGGGAGACCATGCAGCATCCAACCCTTGGCAGTTGCACTGTATTTTAGTAACTTGGTAGAATATTATCTTTTGGTTCTTTCCACGAGGGTCCAGTTAACTCAGCTTCCAAAGTTTTCTTTCTCTAAGTTTTAATTGACTATTTTTTTGTTCATAACATGGGAAAAGGGAAAATAACAGCAGACAGTTTGAAAGCAGAATGAAAGGCATTCAGATAACCTTGAAGAAAGCAATGGAAAAATGTTATCTAATGACAATAGCAGTGCAGCACAAAGGGTCCTGCGCCAGAAAGGGTGTTGAGAGGTGTCCTGATCAACCTATTCAATTTTACCCTCACTGTTCTTACGTAGGCGAACTTGCCTATGGAGGCTGAGCTGAGAGAAGCTGTAAAAATTGCTTTGTTCTATATTGATCACAGGCTCTGAACAAGCATGAAAGCTAATACTCCACTAGTTCGCTTCGGGTTACCACTAAACCCTGCTGTTCTAGACTGATCCTTTTTCAGTTGTACCAATGAAATTGCACTAGATCCTAATTTTGCAATTTCATCATGCGCAATTATTGACAATAACAATGCTTGTCCAATTCAACAATGATAATCTACAGGAAAATGGTGGGAGAAGCAACAAGAAAGTCTTTGTTATCTAGGGCAAATATGGAGTTTTTACACCTTGGAGAAGCAATGTCTCCCAAAATTATCTGGAGAAACATATGTTCTATAGCTCAAAGGCCCTAAAATAAATTACTGGAACTGGACTCTTGACAGTTGAAGAACTTGCTGTTCTGGGAGATGGAACCTTACATTCAGTAGGCAGAAAGTACTGCTTAATTGCCTAGGCAAAAAAACAGAAAAATGGCTATTAATATACTGTACTGCACTTGTGTCTTCGTATTGCCTAACAACCATGAGTTAGGATTTCAGTAAGAAAGCAAAGACGATTTATTTCTTACTCATTTTTCCTATGAAGATTTTTTTTTTTGCATAATGAGGAAACATGGCCAAATAGAATGATGGCAGTAAGTAAAATCTGGCGATCTTTGCTAAAAAGTCTCTGACACTATATGTCTAAGCAATTTGTAAATCTGCTCACACTACTTGTTGATAAGGTTTTCTGTGTGAAAAATTGTTTTGTAAAGGGAAGGCATTTTTTGAACAGACAAGTAATTCGTATTCCAACTAAAACACTTCCTAGAATAGTGTTTGAGGTCAGAGTAAAAAAAAAATCTTCATCTTTTTCCACAGTAGGGTCAAAAGTGAAGACAGAGACTAGAGAATAATAGTATTTAAAAATTCTTCTTTGATAGTCTTATTTTTGGTTGTCTGCTTTTTACTTATATTAATATCCCACTCCTACTTCAGTAAATGCAAGGTTGACTTCCTCCACAAATTTTGTCCTCACAATAAATCAGGTAGAATCTCTTTCCTTGTAGTTTGAACCATCCCTCCATGTCCTAGTCTTTGAAGCAGCAAAAAATAAGTTTGTTCTGCTTCAATATGATATCCTTTTAAATATTTAAACATAGCTATCATATCCCCTCTTAACCTTCCGGGACACTGGATTGGGCCTGCATTGTGTCCTGTCAGGACTACCTTAGCTGCCTTAGAGGTGGCAGGGAGTCCCTAATGCCCAGTCGTGTAGAACGTGCCTCCTGCCCCCTGTTGTAGCTGTCCCCAGACACGACATGCCACCTAGCTGGCCTTCACTGATTTGGCTGGGGACTCCTGCACTAAGGGAACTCTGACTAATGGTAGTCAGAGTACCTGCATATATATGAGTGGCCCACATCAGTGCAAAGTAGGTGGAGTACTGTGGCTGGAGACGGTTGTGATATGGGGGATGACAACAAGGAATTGCCATCCCATGTCCCTGGGCTGGCTGAGCCTGGAGAATGTGGTGTTGTAGCCAAGAAAGCTGCATCTGGTTCCAGTTTTTCTCCACCTCTTTCTCAGCTTCCTTTCAATTTCTGGAATTTTCCAGTTCCGTTCCTTAGAATATAGCATAGGTTGAACACAGGTTCAATACCTTGCCTATCAGTGTTGAATTTCTTTGAATAAAGATTGTATTAGTCTGTAACTGTGGCCCTTTCCACTTTAAACATTCATCTTACATTCAATCAGATGCCAAGTTTGTCTCCTAATAAATATCAAAATACTTAAAATCTCCCATTACTACTACAGTTCTCCTTTCTGAATGTGTGATCTTTCTAGGAAGACATCATCTAAATCCTCAGTTTGGCTTGGAGATCAGTAGCAGATCCCCACAATGACTTCCCTATTGTTTCTTTCCCCCTTAATTTTTACCCAGACACTCTCAACTTGACTCTCAAACTGGCTTCCAGGATTTATATAATGAACCTCTTCACAGGAGAAAACATCCTTGATATACAATACCAATCCTCCTCCTTTCCTGTTTGATTATTTTTCAGAAATTGGCTATAAGGCTGTATTACTATATTCCACTCATGAGACTCATCTCACCAAATTTCAGTGGTGTCAATTATATCATATTTATTTGGTTGTATTATGAGTTCAAGTTCATCTTGTTTATTTCTATGCTTTATGCATTAATGTAGAGACACCAAAAATACCCCCCCCCCTTCTGAACGATTCCTGGCCCTTCAACTATATGTAACTTTCCTCCAAGTGTCTACCTTCTGTGTTTGGGAAGAGACTTCCTCATCAGAGATTCCGTGCGATTCTCCCACAAGATGTCCATTTTGACAGGTCCATCTTTTCTTCTTCCATGGACTTCAAGATGCTGACCTTCTTTTCTAAGAGGGCCACTGACTTGCACATGCTGCAAACATAACTTCTCACTGTGAGGCAAGAACACAGTAATCCCACAGCTGTTCCAAGTGACTACATGAGCTTCCTCTCCATCTATTTTTTTGAAACCTGAATTCTAGTAGGGAATGGAACAGACATCTAGGCCTCCCTTGCCACTCACTTACCCACCCATCTAAACACCTCTCTTTGTCTCACTTGTTCGCCTCATTCCTGTAAGCTTCACTCCAGGATCTACTTACAGATGAATAACTTACCAGTTAATGGCATTTGACTTAGTTATTAGGAAGAGAAAATTAGTATTGGCAAATAACCCCAAATAATGCAGCAAGAGAAACATACTAGAAGTGAACAACTGGTTCCACCGATCAGTTCTGAATAAATCAGGAAAGCTTTGGCTTCCATGACCATGGC